TCATGACACGTTTTGACTGTGCTCTCTGCCTCGGTGTACGAACTGAAAATGAGTGCCATTAAAATGCTTTTGAGGAAGCTCCTGTGTGCAGTATTTTGTAGAGATTTGGAATGTTCCGGAATAAAAAAACCCAGTGGAGATCCAGCCACCTCATAGGACCAAACAAACGAACAAAAAACAACAGTGAGCTCTCCCTGTTTAGCTCACGGAGTGAGACAATAACGCTCAATTAATAGATATTTGAAGAGGTATTTTTCTTCAGTTCAGAGACAGTATTGCTGCTATATCCTTTTTGAACAAAAGATTTGTGCATGTCTTTTGAGAACAGCTCTTGAGATTTTTATTGGTCTTGATTTTTTGAAACGTTGAATGCTAAAACTAGTGGTGGAATGTGGCACGCTAACATGTCAAAGAAACTAGGAAATAGCCCATAACAAATGTGCTTTGTTATGTAGAGGGATTAAAAAAAGCTGCAGTGATAAAACAATGAAAACCTTTTCCTTTCTTGCTAGTTTCAATCTAGCAATACAGTTAAATGGAAAATAGGAAATCAGCTATGTCTGGTGGTTTGTGTTCTTTACTTTCCCACCTCTTTGTGCTGGTGCACCTGCCCATTGCTGAAGTCTGGATGTGCAAGCTGTAAAATAGGTTTTTTGAATAAAATTATTTCCATATGAGCTTAAAAAACGAAATGATGGAAACCACTAATATCCCCAAATTAATGTGATAATTGCAGCATATTTAATGCTTGAATTGCAAGAAGTGAAAAATACTATTAGGGATTAATACAGTGGATAGAGATTAGGAAATTGGATTGTATTAAAGGGAGGTCAGATTCAAGTTAACATCGTTCTTTTTGGTTTCATGATTTTGCAGTCTTTTAGTCTATTTTAAAAAGCATATTACTGCAAGCAGAAAAATACATCTGTTTCCTTCTGCCTTCCAGTCTGTGCCAGACCTGTAGATATCACTTGGAACTTTCTTCTTAGTACATGGTTGCAAGAAGGGAATGTGAAAGAGACTGATTTGCAGCCCAATCGTGGGTTAGTTCAGGCCAACCATGAGCTCAGTTTCTTTGAGTTCTTGAGGAAGGAATAGTTAAGCAGTGCAGTCCTGTACATTACAGTCTCGAAATTATCCAGCCCTGCTGTTCCATCATGTGTTGTGGTGTGACCTTTGTATTTGGGCTTACGCGGGGGAGTGCTGGCCATGCAGTTCTTCATGCCAGAAACATTTCCCATAGGGATGGATAATTGTATTTATGGCCTTGCAGGGCAATTATGAGGTATTGTGACAGAGTTTCTGGTTTTTCTTTTCAGCTGGGTCCTCAAGGTCAAAGTGAACTTCAGGTTGTGGATTGACCAGTGTTATGAGTTTCTCTGCAATTTATTGCCTGGAAACAACTGCAGAATCTTCTGGTCCTGTGCTGCTGAAAGACTCAGCCATCCTGACACTGCATTGTTCCCATTTAGGACTTATCTCTAAGTTTCCTCAAGGCCACACACATGATTTTGTACTCTCACTTTCTCTCACTCTCATTAGCCTGCAGTCTTCTACAGATCTGTTAAATTAATCCCTGTGTGGAAGGTGTTCTATGTTTTGAGGCTGGTTTTGTTGACCTCTGTCATCCTTTTCTAAATCTACCTTTTTTTGTTGTTGAGAGAGAGGTGAAAGGGGATGATCAGAACTATGCTCAGAATTTAGCCTGTCAGACAATAAATATTTTTTAGTTAATTTTTCACATCCAGAATAGTTATTTTGTACATTTTAGATTTTAGATTAGAAGGACTTTAGAAAAGTCCTTCTTTTCATTTGTAATGTGAAAATGTAGTAGGTGATAGACCTGATAGAATGAAGAGAGATATTGAAATTGTTAGTGTTTCTTCCTAAATTACAGGTTTAGTTATTCTGCCTTGGGCAATGAGAATCCTGTGTACACTGGAGCTCTGCAGTGCCAGGCATGGGGCATCTGCTAGCCTGGGAGCCTCAAACCTTGAGAGGCCTGCAGGAAAGCAGAGGCTGGGAGCTCTGCACAGACATGCTGCTCATTTAGTACAGTGTTGTTCGGTGTATGAAGCAGCTGTTTCCTCCTGCAAGGCAAAGGAGTTGATTTCCAGTATGACAGTGAAAAGTAGTATGATTATGGGATCAGTGTGGGAATGCTTATGTTGGAGCTTGTGAGCTTGTCTGCTGTGGACTAGGTATTTTAAGACTGCTAATTACTCTGAGCTGAATGATGATACTTTTTATGATGTTTGAATCTACTCCGTGGTACAGATCTTTGAGAATCAGATACAAGTGTGTCTTGTAAAATTTCCGTTTAAGAGGTTGAGTATATGACTATTTAGAGAAAGAAGCTGAAGCTGAAACATTTGAAGATCTCTTCTATGATCCTGAAGTCTTAACATAAACATTCTATTTATGATTGCTCTGCTGTCATAAAAAATCTAAGTCAGGCTTATTTTCTGAAAGATCCCTCATAACAGAGGGATTTGCATGCTTAAAAATGTTAAATGTTTATTTTTCCCTCATCAGTTCCTGAAACTGTTTCTCTCAGTAGAGCTAAAGTAAAAAATAAGCAGCTGTGAATCTTGTTCTCTTCTTTGCCTGTCTCCATGGTAGTGAAGTGTTTTAAATTGGTATGTCCATCTCAGTCTTTGTAACAGTGCCATCCTTTTTATATACTAGCTGGTTTTTATCCTCAGCACTGAGGTTCAGACAGTATACAGACTTGTATTGTACCTTTTGCTCTAGCATGTAGTAGTTGGAGCACTCTGCAGTGTGTTAGAAAAAGAAAGGTCTGGTGTAATTAAGACAGATTTCTGGTTTATTTTATGCATATAGAGGGAAAAGTCAATCTATGGATTTATTTTTTTAAAAGATGTAAGAAATTAAAACAAAAAAAAATTCTATGTTGGAAGAGCAGAGTTTATGCTATAAAAGTATGAACTTCAAAAGTAACATGTCTTCTGTTGGATTTCTGAATTTAAGGAGTTCATAGAGTAACCTGAATTTAAAACTCTGGATGAATGAGTGAGACTCTAAACATCATATCTCCTCATACAACATGAAGCATTTGAAAGGTTTTACTAATGCATGCAGGTACCATGCAAAAAAATAGTTAATACAGGAGATCTGTACAAGATACTTATGGTCTCCAAATAAGGGAAGATGTAGTCCACAATTTAAGGAACTTTAGAGTTTGTTAGTAAACAAAGTTTATTGCAAAAATTCCCAAGAGTGGAATAGTGAAGCATAAGAAGCGTTAGACACTTCTGCCAGAAGCCATATGGGTCTTATGTGCAAGGTGAGATCTAGAACTCTAGATTTTTCTGGCATGCACTTCTTTTTTTCTGAGCCCAGAAAAACATCCATTTATGGATTCTCATCATGCATCTGTCATGTTTTCTTCCTCCTTAACCTGCCCTAATGAGTTGAAATGCTTACTTTTTAAATGCACGACTTCAGAGAAACTCTTACTGGCTTTTAACAGTATTCACTAAGAATATGACGTGAGGTACATTCCATTAAATTTAATTGCTGCCTCTCCTGCTGTGCCTTTATTGGAGTGTTGTATGACTTTGGGAAAAACAATTTGAGTGTGGGTGGTGTTCTGTGCTGTTATCGAGGCTGACTTGAGTTGAACATATGAGTGTCTGTATATTAAGAACTTGACCTGGAAATAAAATATGTGGAATTGGTACATTTATTTATGTGGTAACAACAGGAAGCCACTCTTATACACAAGGACTCAGCAGTATGATCCAGATTTCAACACTCCTACTGTTGCTGCAGCAAGTACATGGTCTGGCAGTGATTCATTTCAGTATCCATTAGAGGCCTCTTCCCAGCCCTGCAACTCTGCAAAGACTCATGTTTGGTGAATTGTCTAATCTGATATCCCCAAAGCAGACATATTCTCCAAATCTTCTCACTTGAAGTGATTCAATGATAATTTGATTTGTAGGTTGGCAGGGAGATAATGTTTTGTGATTTTATTTTAGCAATAGCAATAAAAAGTGTCCAGATATTTCTGACATACTTATTGGACAGTAAGCTCGAGTCTCTTCTTTGCAGTAGTGAACAATATAAAAAATGGAATTTTTATTACTGAACACTTACATAGTAATCTCCTTGTATCTAGAGTAAGACTTGTTGATGCAATGTTTTTTTAGGTTGCTATGTGAGGTTTTGGACAGCAGTAAATAAAGATGATGGTTATCCTCTATATGTAGATGAGGCATTTTAGCAAATCAACAATACTTTGTTACATAAATATTTAAATCATGTCTTATTTATGAAGTAAATTATGAAGAGTAAAATATTAGAAGTATGGCCTGAAGTGAAAACCAGACATTTGGTTCCAGTTGTAGTCAGTTACTTTCAGTTTTGTGAAACATCTGGCTAATAACTGGTGACATTTTTACAGTAGTTTACAAACACTTTATTGAGTGTGGCAATGGGCAGATTTAAAGGTGGCTGCTAAGCTTATGCATGGAGCAGATACTATGGTACTCTTATTTTGGGAAATATGAAGAGGCTGTTATAGCCAGGCATGTCGTGGGGGATGCTGAAGAGCTGAGTCTGGCACTGCTGAAGTGAAGGGTGGTGGTGGTGTGGTGGTAAGTGCTGGTCTTTGGCACAGTGAGGACCTTAACGTGATTAAGGGCTAAGGAAGCTGCTGTAGAAAATGATTGGTGACACAGTAATCTGTTTTTTGAGAGACTTTTTATAATGCCAGTATCCAACAGGCTAGAACTTGACTTGTTTCTTAGGCAGTGGCAGAAGCTGAACCCTTGGTGCTGCTCATGCTGCTTAAGTCCTTTTATATGTAGGTAATGTGAGGCCTTTTAATTTGTTCAAGATTTTTAGTCTTTTCTAGCTCTGCTGTAAAACAGCTATAAATGATTTGTGACATGCAGAACTGCACAAGAAAGATTTAGAAAATGGAGTCTAAAAGAGGTCATGTCATTAATTTAAATTTGTTTTTAACATTTCAGATTTTTCTTCTTGCCTGTCCCCCATGTCGGGCTGCAATGATTCTCTTCAGGTAATACCTCTTCCTTGCTATATTTCTGTCTACTTGCATAATGTATTTCAGAAGTTAGTCACTGATTAAGTCATAAAATATAAATCCAGTTGGAAAGGCATATTGGTTGGATTGAAAAGGGCTTAAATTGTGGGTGTTGAGCCCCATACCCTTGGTGCTTGTGTCCTGGTGGGTTTGGCCTCGCTTAGGAACATGAGTTAGCTCAGTAACAGAGGAGTTAATGCAGATTAGTGTATGAGCTGCTGTAATTTTGTTGTGGGCCTCGTACCCTTTTATTATTCTCAGTAAAAATGAGTAACTGGATCTTATTGAAGGCCATGCATACAGTATGGGACTCATGTTAAAACTGCAGGTAGGTACAGTTAACTAGGTTAAGCAAATTCTTGCTGACTTGAGTATTTCTCATACCTATGCAGTATTTTCTAAAATACTGCGTATTGTTACTAACTTTAAGAACCACAAGAGTTTCTAATGTGCAGAAGGCTCTAATGGACTACAGCAGCAGAGTCTAGTAAGTAGCTAAGGGGTGTAGCTAGTGGTGTTGTGGGGAGGGTCAGGGCACTTCCCTGGCAGAATGGTAGTCGAGAATAGCTGTAGTTGCCACTGGGGCATTAAACTTGGCTCTTTCTTGTCTTAGTCTAGGTATTTACTGGAAAAATGATGCTGGGGGAATGCTTCATACTGTCTGTCTGCAACTTTTCCCTGCTTCTCCTTCGTTGTGCAGGGATTACACTGAATAGAGATACCATGTTAGGATCTCCATCTTGGGAAGTGTGAAAAGTATGCCTGGTGTCCAGAAAATCTTTACTAAAGACCAGTTGTGACCTGAGACCACAACACTTGTTTTTCAGATTGAGTATTTCTATTTTCTGGCACCCTGACAACATATAAATTATATTTGAGAAACTGCTTTAAAATTGTAATACCTTTCCCCCCCTCAAGTTACTTTTAAATTCCTGACAGTTTATTGCAGACAGTGGTTGGACACAGTTTATTCTTTACTTTGTGTCTTATGTAAGGTAAACTGAAACTGTTCTGATACTACTACTCTGTTCCGGTGATGCAATGTGGTTGAGAAAAAGATGACTGAAAGCTATACAAAATACAGTATTATAGCACTACTTTCCTGCCTTATGCTTTGCTTAGAACTTGCATTTTGACAAATGTAACTTGTTTTATTTAAGGGATTTCTTTCAAATTCCTGAAGCTTTGATTTGAAGCTGTACATTTATAGAGTTGAACAGGAGTAAAAGTCTTTATCAAATATGCTGTTTTAAGCTCTGGAAGACAAATGAACAGCAGAATTCCAACTATTTAGCAGCTTGCATCATGGGCAGGATTATGGGCTGTCCAGGCTTTCTAGGAATCCAAAGCTCATTATAGAAAGCAGTCCTACTTTAGGAAATTCTTTATGTGTGTGTTTAAAGATAGGTTTTTGTCCTGGTTGTTGCATTTAACAGTATTTTGTTACTGTATTTAAAAGTGGATTTGTTCAAATTCAAGCCAAAAGAATTTCTAAGTGTCTTGCTACCCTTTATTGAGGAGATACTACATAAAAATATGTAAAAACATTGAATTTTATTTCCAGCTATGAAAATAATGTCCCACCTCTTTTCTAAGGTTGCAGATGCACATGCTGAATGGGGCCCTCTTGGCATTGCTGTTTCCTGTTGTCAATACACGCCTGGTGAGTCTACTGTGGTTTTCCTTCTCCTTTTTTATTTATTTCTAAAACATTTTCTTAGGAAGGATGTTAGATCTTGGCTTTGTTTGACCTTTTAATGTTTGTGTTACCAGGCTGTAGATTCCTGGTACTAGTCACTACAATGAGCCAAAATACCAATCTTGCATTTTTTGGTGTTTATAACTCCAAAGCCAACTTTGCTGTATGCTGAGTGTCAGTTCCATCTGAGCCATTAATGGAGGGAAAACCTAAAGCCTTTGAAAGAGGCTGTCACAGGTTAGCCTTGCGGTTTGTGGCCACGATTCAGTTTCAGGCTTTTCAGACAGTACGTAAATGTAAGATTCCTCAGGCCTGGAAAATGCCAAATGTTGTTGTTGGCTGTCATCCCATCTCCCCCAAGATTAGGCATGGCAGGATTCTCTTTTTCCATCCAAGTTTTCAAATCTGCTATAAAACTCCAATGTCCTGGACAAAAAAATAGCCTGTTGGTGTTCCTAGTAAGATTCTTAAACCCATTGAGAGCTAAAGATAAGAAAAGTTATCTTGAGTGTGAGCCAACTGAAAATATTTCTAAGGATTATTTTAAGAGCTGTTTTCCATACATATGTGGGGGAACTGCATGTGTGTATTGCATATACAGATATACCCCCCCTGTATATGCCTATAAGCTTTTACTTTTTTTGTTCTTTGACTTGTTTGCAGAAATCTGTTGTTACAGCCAGTGAAATGTCTGTTTTCAGATAGACTTTGCTTAAATAGAAAGTCCTTGTGTCTGTGTCCATAGAGCGCATGAGTTAGTATTGCTAACAAAATTCTTGTGGACTTCAGACTTCATTGCAAATCTTGTTAGTGGCTCTCTGGTTGCAAATCTTGACTGTCTAAATAAGATTAAGCATGAACTTAAGCTTTTGTGCAGTTTGCAATTATGTTTTATTAAACCTTAATCCTG